AGCTCTCTCTCACTTGAACTCCCACTGAGTCACACGGCTGGTGAGAGTCAGTGTTCATTCTGTCACTTACGCCAGCTTTAGTTGTGACTATAATGATGTGATTTATTAACTATTACATAAACATACAAAGACTGGGTAGGGAAAAACCTAGAAGAATTCTGCATTCAGACCACTTGGCAGACACCTTTTTACTCCCTTAAGCCTCATTTTTTTCCCCTTGAATCTTTATAAAATGTTTAGGTTCTAAAGGGGAAAAATTCATAAAGCATTTCACCTCTTTCCTGCTTCAGGATTTCTACGCTGTCTCAAAACAAGAGAACCATCCATTCCTGGTAGATTATCTCTTCTAAAGAGAGCATACACTATCACTCTCCAACGGCTCCCCACTTGCCTACAGGATAAAGTCCTCTATTTTCTGGCTTCAGCCTGACTCTCCTATCTCCCCAGAGCAGCCCCCTCACTATGAGCTGCTGGATGGCTGTTCCATGAACAGTCCGGGCTGGTTCACCTTGTCTGGCTTGTCTCTCCCAGCTCTCTCTGCCAGCAATGCCAGTTCCTTCCCTTCTCCCTACCTGTCCACTTTTCTGACTATGCTCAAGTCACTGCCACTGCTAAGACTTTCCTGCCCAAGCATTCCACTCCTGAATAGTTTTGGCCAGCAGAGTTAGCTGCTGCCTCCTCTGGGCCCACTGTAATCCGTACAGGTTTCCAGCGTGACTCCTGTAACACATGTTACCCTTATTGTTACATGTCTGCCTCCTTAACCTGAGAGCTCCCTGAGAGAAGGGACCACATCTTATTTAGCTTTGTACACCCCGATGCTGACCAGACACCCTGGTATCAGTATCTTGGCGTGACCAACCTCCTTCACATTCCATGTGCTCGACTGAATTGACATAAAGAGAATGGTGTCCCTGGTCTTGTGCAATGCTGTGGCCCACACTCAACAGAAGCTTAATCCATGTTTGAAAAATGAATGGGTGAATAAATGATAAATGAATGCTCCAGTTCAGACCAGCCACAATAGTATAGTGTAGTTTTGCTTTAAATATAGATAATGAACTTGACATCCCTCTAAGGCCTGCATTAATTCAGGAAGGTTTTCAGAGGTGGAAATGTTTCTAGCATAACTATTACTTTTAGTTTTGTTTCAAAGAAAACAAAAGTGGCAAGGGTATTGCCACTGAAACCACGATTCCAGGACAGCACTGAGATAAAGTGTCTTTCCCGATGCTAGACCCATTACAGCTCAGCTACACAGATTCACAAGCACCAGCAGGTTTCTGAGTTAAAGGGGAAACATTAAATGTATTTACTGCCAACTCTGGATTTTTTTCTCAGATTTTGCAGCACCACAGAAATTACAGCTGACGCTACAGAAGTTTGGTAGGTTTTTAGAACAGGGGCCGTGCCCTTATCTTCAACTTGAAACTTCTCAGCATAATACAGTCAAGGATAGGAAAACATGTTGTTTATATACCACCACAGTAATACCATTTTATCCCTGACTTTTATATGGTAAACATCTTGTGATTTTCCCTACAGAAATAAACAAGTGATAAAATATTTTCACTTCTCTAAAGCCTGGGGGACTAGCAATAATGCCAAAATAAAACTCAAAATATACCCGAGATTATGTTCTTATGAAATCTGTAATTGTTCAAGTATTAAAAGACTTAACTTCTTATCTTTGACCAAACTGACAAGCAAAACCCTTTTAACCTACTTTGTCAGTTATTTACTCCTTCACTGAACTGAATTGTCACATTTGTAGAACACTCAAGGCAATGCTAGATAAGAGGAATATTAAGTCACAAAAGTGCCCCCAAACATACTCCAAGCCTCAAAGAAGAAAATCTTGTTTCCACTGCATAATGGAGCCAAGCAAAATCAGGGATGATGACTTGGGACAAGAATGGCTAAGACAGTTAGAATGAATCATTCACATCAGAAGTAAAAAGAGCACTCTCAAAATAACTATGCTGTTTACTTGCCAGTGAATCTATCTGATTCGAAGAGTAAAAATGATCTGCCAGGACATGAGATATTATAGGCTAGATGGGAAGTTTATAAATTATGCCTGCAATATTATGATTTAACAAGCAAAAAGAAGACAAGCTGAGAAGGACTAAAAGGGCAGCTCCTCTAACTGACAAGCAGAGAAACACTATCAAAGCTACTCGCTGGAGCAAAAGTGGTCAACTTGGCCCCCCATCAGCCGAGGCCACCGCATTGTTCCTGCCTTCTATGTTGGAACAGTGTACTTAGACACACCTATAATGAAAACCAAGCCAAAATGAAAACCACACCAAAATGAAAACCACAGACAAAAATTTTAAGATGGCTAAAAAGTAGCAGTTAGAGTAATAAAAATGCCATGGACATCTACAGTTCCTTCACAAAACTGAACTTAACCCAATACATACCTATTGGTTGGTCCCTTATTATAGTCACTTCAGACTTGCAACCTAACTGGTGTGTATACAGAGACACTGAATTCACTGAATTCAGCAATGGCTCAGAAGGTGCTCTGAGCCAGTGGCACATTCTGTTGTATATCCTCCAGAGTGACAAGTCTTTATTCTGAGGCTGAGTATGCTTTTTTGGAAAGAGTCAAAGATTAACATATGTAAAATACTCAGAACAGTGCCTGACACATAGTAAGAGGTATATAAGTATTAGCCATTTTTATTACTTTCAGTCAGAGAATGGGGTGTGATAACAAAGGAAAACATTTTCTTATGCGGTCCATCAGTTTAATAAGTCACCATCATTTCTTTCCAGAATTCCTGCGGAAACCTCACGACTGCTGCCCGCTCCTTCCCGCCTCATCTACTCTCCTCTGTTTTGCTGGCTCAGTCCAGCCACAATCGCCTCTTTGCTGCTACTCCGACATACCAAAGATGCTTCCACCTCAGGGCTCTCGCACTTTCCTCCAGATATCCTCATGCCCACTCCTTCATTCCTTAGGGTGACTGTTCAAAGGTCAGCTTCTCAGGGAGGCCATTCCTCACTATCCTATATAAGTCCTCCTTCCACACACTCTTCTTTAACATATTTTATTTTTCTCCATAGCTCTCATCACAATGTGACATGCAGAAACCATTTATTTTATGACTCCACTTCAGAAAACACACTAGAAGGTAAGCTCCACGCAGGGAGGAGTTTTGTCTTTTTGTTTACTGTTACATGGCAAGTGTTTAAAATTTGGTGAGAGAATGAATTCAATAAGTATTTAATACATCTATGTGCCAAGACTTTTTTTTACACATTTTCTCATTTAGTCCTCACAAACCTTGGAGGTAAGTAGTATCATCACAATTTTAAAAACAAAGAAACTAAGGATTGACAAGGTTAAAAATACTACCTACAGTCACAAGAACCAAGATTTAATCTCAGTCTGAGTCTAAAGTCCTCAGCCACACAATGTATGTTAAAGGGATCATTCAGGTACTAAGATTTTATGTATTCAGTCAACAAATATTTATGGTGTGCCTAAGCCGACATGTACTGCAATGGTCCCTAAGGACACAACTGTAAACTTGCCATCTAGAGAATTTGTGCCATTGATTCACCAAAAACTAAGCAGAAAATACTAATTCTTTGAAATAAGAGACTGAGAGTTAAAAATCCATCCGCAGCAATGACTGGCTCTGAAAGTCTTCCATATGCTAACACTTATTCCACGAGGGAAATTATTATAAAACACTAGCCAAGGGGCTCTCAGATGGTGGGAGGAATATGTGTCAGAATACATGCCCTGTGCAGCTTCATGAAGTCCCTACACAGGTTCCTGAGGTTCTGGCACAGCTAAGCTGATTTAATAAAATGGGGGGTGCAGTGGGGGAGTCACATGAAATTCTAAAATATGGTTTCTCCTCCCCCTTTGAGAATCACATCTTCCTTTCCTGACACAGCTCACCATGCTTTTCCACTTTTGAAATACCTGTTTGCCCAAAAGTAATAATGCGATTGTAGAAGCTTATTTAGACACAAAATATTGTAAAGCTTTAGACCTCTAGGATTTTCCATAGCGGCCCGAGGACAAAAGTTCCATAGAAGAGGGAGAAGGAGAAGCCAAATAAATGTAAGAAATGCTATGGTGCTAGACTTTACATATATTATCTCTCTTACTATCTTAAATCTGCAGCTAGCAAACCTCGGAAAGAGCAAACCAAGTAACTCGCCTAGGTCACAAGGTACATGCACCCCGCCTCCACCTCCGCTGCAGTATCTGGGTAAAGGGTCCGATTCCTCAAGGGGCCTGATGTTCTTCAAAACTCAGAAATGTCACCCCAGGACTCCAGTGCAGAAACGAGCCAACTATGACCACCTGCCCCATCCTCACCCCAGGAAATAACTCAACCGTCATATTTCCAAATTACCAAGTGGGTGGTGGAAACACTTATGCTATGGAGCATCTTAGCCTGATTCGAAAACTACACACGATGATGAAAACTACACAACAGCACGATGGAAAAGGCTCTGCGTTTGCGGCCAGATGGACTCCAGCACTCTGACTGGAGCCATTCCTGATCGCGTCACCCCTAGTTCTAAAACACGGCACTAGGAGTGTATGCTTTTGGTCGTCCCTGCCACAAGCATTTAGTTCCATGAAAACAAGGACTGTGCCCATTTTTCCCATTGCTCCATCCCCAACAGCCTGAGCACAGAGGCACTGAAAAAACGAGGGTTGGAGGAATGCATCAAGGAATGAGCGAGCCTGGCTCTTATCTGCGAAAAGAGGATCGTCAAGAGAGCAAAACCCGGGAGCTGTGGCGCCGGGGGGAGGCGGCGGGCAGAAGGGGGCCCCTGGCGGAGCGTCGAGGGCGGGGAGGGGCGGACAGGCCCGGCCGGCTGGCGGGCGGAGGAGGTGACCCCCGGCCAGGCCGGGAAGGACAGGCCCAGGCCCGCGGGCAGCCGTCAAGACGCGTAGGCCCCGCCCGAGACGTGAGAGCCTGAGGAGGCGCGCCCGCCTCGCCGGCCGCTCCGGTTCTTACCGACTCCAAGCACCGCTCCGGGCGACCCGACGGGACCCTCCGAGGACGACACACGGCCCAACACCAGCCCAGGGACGAAAGGCAGAGTTCTCGCGGGAGCACACGCTTCCTCCCACGTCTCACGCCACACAGCTGACAGTCTCGCGAGATCTCTGCTCGGGGAGGCCCAAAGCACTTGTCCGCCCTCTAGAGGGCGCAGAGCGCAAGCGCACATTCTTCCTGGGTCTGGAGGTCAGTGTCCTCTCGCCCTTACTAAATAAATCAGGTTAAATGAAGCAAACGTCTATAGAAGGCAAACTCTGTGCCGAGGACTGTCTTAAGTGATTCTCTCACACAGAATGTCCTCATAAGGTACATATTATTTAGCCTTAACGTACAGATGGAAAAATAAATGTCAGAAGACACAAAAGAACAAATACTGTTTGATTCCACTTATATAAGGTACCTAAAGTCATAGAGATAGAAGATAGGCTCCGGGCGACCCGGAGGAGGCTGGGAGAGAGGAGTTTTTGTTCAATGAGTACAGAGTTTCAGTTTGGCATGATGGAAAGTTCTAGAGATGGATGGTGGTGATGTTTGCACGACACACGTGAATGTACTAACACTACTCAATTGTAAACTTAAAAGTGCTTAAAATGGTAAACTTTATGTTGTGTGTATTTTGCCACAATTTTTTTTAATTCAGTAAATAAATAAATTTTAGAGTCCAGATTCCAGGCCACATCATCTGAGTCCAGAGCAACTGTTTGTTTGCGCCACATCACACCGCACAATCTTCTGCACTCTGCATGCCACCCCTCTGTGCCTCCCCTCACAATCTGCCCAGTGTGGCATTATCCACATTGGAATTTTCCTGTTTATCTGTGACCAGATGTTAAAATAGGAATCTTTCTGTCTCAGTTTTGACAGAGGTCCCCAAAACTGGGTGCTAATTGCTTCCCATGCTTCCCAGCAAAGTGAAGGACCGTCTAAGCAGGATTTGCAAAGGAGAGGATCACGTTAGGGTTTTATAGATGCCACCCAAGGGTGACTCCTACGAGGGGCAAGGCAATCAGTGGAATTCAGCAGGGAACACAGCTGCAGATACAGAAGCTGAGAAGGCATCACACTTGTGAGTGGAAACGGGGGCTGTGAAGGAAGAGGAGCAGTGGGGAAACTCGAAGAGGTCCACAAAAGCCCCATGAGGAAGTAAACCCCCCTAAACACTCCCGCAGGCAGAGGAGTTAGGACTGCGTCATACTCTTAACTCTCCTGTCCCCGGTTCTCTCAGGTCAGATGCGGACTCTGAATTGAGACTTTTTGTAACTAAAAGTGACCAAAGCACTGTTTCATTATCTCAGGATAACCAAAAAAGCTAAAGGCTGCCTAGATTGCTCACCTAGTCCACAGTGCATATTTGAAGAGGTAGGATTAGGGGGCAGAGGGGGAATAAAGCTCTTCACCGACTGCCCACAGATTGTTCGACAGAGGACTGCGTGCTTGTTTGGGATCGGTCACATACACACGCACACCCGACTCTAAGCCCCAGCAAAGCAGGGACGTGGTCTCTCTGATTCACTGCTGCAGCCCCGAGCCCAGAGCACCGCCTGGCCCAGGCACTCAGCAAGGACCTGTTGAGCAAACAAAGGTTCTCTGACACAGAAACAGCACTGTCATTGTTCGAAATCCCTAAGTTTTGGGATGGTCTGTATGTAGCAAGAAACAACTGATTCTGGAGCCTTGCACCCAAGCCATCCCCCCATCCAGGAGGCAGAGCCCCTGGCCTTTTAATAGCCCATCAGGCAGTACGTGGTCCTGCAGGCACTTCTCCCAGGCTGACCTGCTCTAACCTGCTCTAGCCTCAGGCAAACACAGATGCGTGTAAGGGACACAGCCTGAAGGACACTCCCTGAAGAAGAGGAAGGAAGGATAAACATGAAATCCTCAAAGAAAAGAAGGGACCTGACTCCATCGCAAAGACACATTTACTTTTTGAATTGTTCACCAGAGAGCAGAACACTGGGGCAGCAGGGTGCAGATATATCAGAAGCGACAGAAGTGGCAGTGGTCCCCTGAGTACAATGCACAGTGATCTACTGAAGTATAGGGGAAATAGTGTAACTTTTATTCAGATTTGTTTATTTATTTATTTTTATTTATTTTTTGTGTTTGTGAGGAAGATTGGCCCTGAGCTAACATACATGCCAATCTTCCTCTATTTTATGTGGGATGCCACCACAGCATGACTCGATGAGCAGTGTTAGGTCCCTGCCTGGGATCCAAACCTGTGAATCTTGGCTGCCAAAGTGGAGCACGCGAACTTAACCACTTCACTACCAGGCCAGCCCCTATTCATATTTATTTTTTGTCTCCTCCTTTAAATGTTTGCATGCTTTACAATGTGCATCATATCAGTGTCCACATAATTTCTAAATTAAAAACACACATATTCAAGTGGTTGCTGAAACATTTTTTACTGATAGGTAGGGTTACACCAGCATGGACTGTTAGAGGCCATAGGAGAATGAGGCCAGCCTGAGAAGACGTGAGCACCTGGCCTACTGGAAGCACATTACATTATCCACCCACTGACAGGACAGGTCTTTTCTGGGTCATTCCGCTCCACCACCTTGTAGCTGCAGGTCTTCTCGTTAAAGATTTTCTCGCACTTGGTTGTGTCATAATCCGCAGGTATAGCAACGCTGTCATTGAGACAAGAGCAAAGCTTGTTAGAAGGGATAGGATACCCGGGCCTCCCCAGGGCCAGCTCTGTGCCGGAAGCAACCCACACTCTAGCTGTTTGGGATGCCCCTCACCAACTTAAGGTCACCCATCAGCTGGCAACCCCACGGTGCCACCTTCAGGACCCAAACACATAGAACCTGGACTATGAACACATAGACCATGTCTGACCTTGTTCCTGAATTCCAGGAACAATGTCAGGGCCAGGCAGCTTGTTCCCGCCTGGCTTTTCTTGCCCTCCCTGCACAGGAAGTGGCCAGGAATACTGCTGCTCAAATGTTGTCCCAACTCCCTCAAGGTTGTCCCAACCCTTGCTTGGAGGCCTGTTAGATTAGGAGCTGGCTCAGCCAACAGGAACAGAGTCACTCCAGGCTGGGATCATGGAGCCCAGGGAGAAGCTGATGAAAACTAGGGACCATCTCCCCAGGAAACTCCACCCACGCATTCAAGGGAGCAAACAGCTTTGGGCTCATTGCTCTCTTGAAACCCATCCATAAACACCACATTTCAATTGCCCTCCCCCAAAGTGTACACAGAAGCAGCCATGCCCAGGGCCTTTCTGACAATGTTTCCTTGGAAAAGGTGACTCACTTTAACAAAAGAGGACGTTTCAATCCTCTTCCCCCAAAGGGTAATCTGGAAACCAAAATGAGTTGGAATAAGGTTTTCACAGGGCCCCTGGGTGCAGGCCTGGGTAGCACAGAGGCCAGAGCAGCCTGGCCGCGGGCCTCCAACCCCAGGCTCCATTGCCACTGGGCAGCTTGAGATCTGGACAGTGTCCCCTAGAGAGTGCAGTGGGTCAAAAAAATTCTCCCAGAGAAAATTCAATCAAAACCTGTATTTTTCCAGGGCAAACAAAGAAGTTCACGAGAAAAACTTGCCAGGCTGTGAGGCAATTACAAGGAAAAGGAGTTGGCTATGAACACAGGGAGAAATGCACACGTTTGCTCCATGTGGATCCATGTGCCAAACAGGATAGGCAACATGGCAGAAAAGAGGAAGGGGCACCTTGAGCCCAGACTAGGTGCCAGTTACTGTTCCAGGCTCGGGGAACACAGAACTGGCATACAGAAGGCATTAAATATTTTTTTGAGTTAATGAATTTGTATGTGGAATCTCGTTTAATTCTCACATCCGCCTGCTTATCCTTATTTTACAGTGAGGAAACTGAGGCTCAGAGAGATTAAGAAACTTATCCAGGGTCACACAGCTGGTATGCAAGGGAATGGAGATTCAGACTCAGTGACTCTGACTCCAGCACTGAGGCTCTTCCCACATCACCTTTCTACACTAGGTCCACAGAACCCTAGAAGAGGGTTGTATTGATGTGGCTGTGATGACACAGCACTGACTGGGGTACAGGGGTGTCAAATCCGAGTGACATGGATGCTTTGACCACTTTGGAGGTGCGCTCCCATGTCAGAGAGGAATGGCTCACTAGCCCTTAACCTGGCCAGTACAATCACACTCCGGAGTCAGATTAACATGATGCGAAGACAATGGCAAATTTCTGGAACCACAGAATCAAGGTTTAGTTGTAAGATGCAGTGACCCAGCCGGGGCAATCACTAGGAACCTGCTTCAGGGAACCAGCCAGGCCGTCTCCTGATGTGATATTCCTCTTGTTCCATGAAGCACTTAGCATGGGGCATGCTCAAGAAATATGTTCAGAACTTTCTGGACCCTTAACTTCAGCAGCGCTCGAATATTCTAAGTCAAGTGCTCGCTCCTCTACTCATAAGACTCTCTGAAGCACTTGTTAAAATTCAGATTCCTCAGCATCCTATAGATTCTGATTCCACAGGTTCTGGGGTGGGCCCCAGGAATCGGCATTTCATCAAGTTTCTCAGATGAGTTTGTGGTCAGGCAAGTTTGGGAAATGCTACGTTATGCCAACGCTTCTGTCATCAAAGCCACTCCTGTTCTTGCAAAACTCTGAAGGCTAAGGCTGACGTGAAAACATCAGATGGATTTGAGGTGGGAGGATGGGGAGTGGCTAGCATGGATGTTGATACTGAGGAAACAGGAAAATCAGGGCCACACTGCAGGTATTCTCTGTTCTATTGGCCTGAGTACAAGATCTTTGGCGTCCACAGTAACCTAGCAGAACACATCTGCACGACCTTCCAGCTGACTTGAGTTAACCTTGAGCAATGAAGCAACATAGGGTTTAGAGGACAAGGCGCACTACAGATCGTCCTTTACGCCTCACATCCATTCCCTCTGCGTGTGTTCAGATCCACTCCTCTTCTTGCAAATCGCCACAGGCCAAGGCTGAAGTGAACTTCTAGAAGTGAAGTGAACTAGCAACTTCTAGAATAGCGTCAGACCATTGGGTACCCTTTCCTGTCTTCAGCAACTATCTGGATATAGGTATTTAATAATAAAGATATTTATCAAGTTTCAAAAACCACTTAAAAGAAGTAAGATGGAGGTGGAAGCAACCCAAATGTCCATCAACAGATGAATGGATAAAACAATGTGATATATATCTCTATATATACAATGGAGCATTACTCAGCCTTAAAAAGGGAGGAAATTCTGAGACATGCTACAACATGGATGATCCTTGAGGATGTTACACTGAAATAAGCCAGTCGCAAAAGGACAAATACTATACGATTCCACTTAGAGTTGTCAAATTCATAAAGACAAAGAGTAGAATAGTGGTTACCAGGAACTGAGGGGAGGAGGGAATGGAGAGTTAGTGTTTAATGGGTACAGAGCTTCTGTTTGGGGAAATGAAAAAGTTCTGGAGGTGGGTGGTGGAGATAGTGGCACAAAAATGTGAATATACTCAATGCCACTGAATTTTATACTTAAAATGCTTAAAATGCTAAATTGTATGTTAGGTATGTTTTACCACAATAAAAAAAAAAAGAAAGAAAGAAAGAAAGAAATAGGACTGACAACTAAACCCCTTGCAGGATGGGATTTTGAAAGAGAGTAGCTGTTTCCCCATTGAGCAGCCCAACGCCAGCTGCATCCCCATCTAGGGTCTGCTGGTTTGAGACTTACGTGTTGCAACAGCTGATTCCATGTTGGTCACAAGAACACTCCTGACAGCTCTTAGTCTTCCACTTTGAGTTCATCGGGTGTGTGACTCCATCCAGATCCTTGCATTCTAAAATAAAACATGTGGCCTCGTCAGTGGAGTCCCCAGGGCATGCAACCAGAACAAGGCACAAAACCTAGGACAGTCTGAAGATGGAAACAAAAATTTCCAGATTTTGTTCCTGAACAGACATTTCACGAAAAACTAAGGGCCTCATCTTGAATCAAATAACTATTATGAGCCTGGAGGAACATGGGGCTAAGTTTTTCCCTGCTGGTTTATCTCTGGATAAATGCCTCATTTCTCAATTTCTCTTTGCTTTGGTCCTCAGCTCCAAATGCACATGTGAAACATCTCGGGTATTTGGGAAAAAAAAAAAATCTATGCTTGGGTCCCACACTAGAACAATGAAATCAGAATCTCTGGGCATGGGACCCAGGCACTATATTTTTAGTAAGCTCCTCAAGTGATTCAAATGTTCAGCCCAGGGGGACAACAACTGGTTTAGATCCTTGGACAACAACTGGTGGTTCCAGTGTGCCTAAGTGTCTAGAAGCATTGGCATCACCTGAGGCCGTATAGACTCCAGGCCCACAGAATCAGAACCTGTGTTTTAACAAGATTTTCAGAGGGTTTGCACGTTAAAGTTTGAGAAGTACTGCTTTGGAATAATCAATGGTTCTTGGCTCATGTAGGAGTCAGTTGAGAAGCTTTTAAACATGCAGCGCCTACCTCAAAGATTCTGATTTATCTGGTCTTGGATGGGGCCTGAGCATTGGTAAGTTTCAAAAATTTTCCAGGCAATTCTCATAGTTAGAGTTGAGAACCACTGTCTGATATAAATGGCAAATGGAAGGCCCTCATTTTACTCCTTTTCTCTCTCTGCCCTAACCCTCCTTCTCACGTAGATTCAAAGGCTGTCATCTGCCAACAGGTTACATCCACCAGGCTGCAATGACATAATAAACATAGAAAAGTAGGGACTTACCATTAGGTAAATTGCCTGGAATGTTCTCACGAGGTATGACGAAGCACTGGGCATTGCATACAGTCACAAAGGTGGCCAAAACCAGGAGGCTGCCCAGAAGAGCATTCTATAAGGTAAAGAAGGGTCAGGAAGGAGAACAAATGAATTCAGATGGTAATCATTGACTGAGTGTCCTGTAGGGGGTCCCTGCTGGGCTGGAAATCGCAGACTGAGGGTCCTCTTCCAGGATCCCTGCTGGGCTCTGGCTGGTGGTGTAAAGGTGGGGCTTCCACTCTCAGGTTAGCTACCAAAGGAACGAGAGCTACACAAGTTACTAAGATAAACTGGAGAAAGAGCTAAAGGTGAGTCAGAAGTAGCAGAGCCATGATGATAGGGTGCTATTTCATTACAGAGGAGTTCAGGAAACCCTGTGGAGAGTTTATTTTTAGCTGCTTTGCAGAGTATGTATAATTTAAAGGACAGAAATGAGGGAGTGGAAGAGAGTTTGGGGAAGATAATAAAACATTGACAAAGACACAGAGACAAAGAAAACACAAGAGGAGACTTGATGGAGCTAACTGGGTCGGTCAGAGGTCTTAGACTATGAGGCTGAGAACTTCATTTTCCAGATGATCAAGGCATCAATGATGGCTGCCTGAACATATCAGTCTATCTAGGCTGATACTGGATCTGTAGGACAGAGAAAAGTATCATCATGTTGCTCTTGTTGTCATTTTGAGATGAGAAAGCTAAATAAACAAACTTTAACGTGGGAATTTTTAGGAAACTTTTAAAAAGGAAGATGGGGTGAGGGTACTTGTTCTATAAATTTCTAAAATTAATTATGACCTGATGCTAGTACATTACTGATATAAGAAGAGAAAGAAGATGAATAAAGGGAACAAAATAGAAAACCCGAGAAGTGTATTTACAAATATATATAAAAGTTTAATAAGGTAAACTTAGTCTTTTAAGTCTGTAGAGAATTACTATTCAATAAATGGCATTAGAACAAATGGTGGGCTATTTGGGGAAGAAAGAAAGTTAATTTCCTACCTTCGTTCACACAATGAAATAAATTCTAAAAGGACACAAAGGTTAAATTTTTACAATAAGATCATAAACTAATCACAGAAAATATAGGTAAATATTTAACTTATTCTACACACAAAAGAAAAAGAAAAGAAATTGATTTGAATTGTAAAAGTTGTAAGTCCATACACAGAATTAAAAAGCAATTACCAAATTTGGAGAACAACATCATTATATGAAGTGTTTCTATATATCAATGAGAAAAAGAAAAACAGACTAGTAGAAAAATGGCAAAGGAAATAAAGTGGCATTTTCACGCACACACATACACAGACCCAAATAGAAATGATGAATAAACACATGAAAAAGTTAAATTCACTGATAACACAAGAAATGTAACTGTGTAAATAGAACCATCATGGGATAATGGCAAGAACAATTATTTAATTCCTAATATCTAGAGGCAAATAGAGGCATTTATGGGAAGTGAAATACAGAGGGATTGTTTATGTTGGAACAGTTTTGATGGAGAGCAAGTTGATAGTGCATATCCAAATTCTTAAAATTATTTACAACATCTGACTTCTCCTTTTCACTTCTAATACTTGATCCTAAGAAGAATGGCACAGAGATGGAGCTAGACTTCTCAAGAATGTTCACTGCAGGGGCAAAACGAAAATAATCAAAATGCCCAAGAACAGGGCTGGTTGAGAACATGGTGACTCAGAAAAAAAAGCTGGTAAGCTGAGGAGATAAGAGACTGTGAAATGACAAGAGCAAATGGTCACTATGTATCATTAAGTGAAATAACCCTGGTTACAAAACAGTTTGCATAGTGTGATTCCTGTGATGTAAAAAGATACAGATAGAAGGAGATGCTCAGAAACAGAGTGCACCAGAAGGTTTTGTACCAAATTTTAACAAGTCATTTTGAGTTATGGGGTTATGACCGTTTTCTTCTTTGGGCTTTTCCTCTTATTTTCTAAATTGTCTACAATGGAATGCATTGGTTTATAACCAAAAGAAACACATCGACTTTTACAAGAAACCATGATACCCTTGACTCACACCAGGATTGAGGTTGCACCATTCTGTCTGTTTCATTCTTTTGCATAATCTTCAGCTTAAGATCATTGTGGAAACCTGAATTTTTTCTCAAAAAAAAAAAAAAAAAGCCAGACAGAATTTCCGATCCCTTTATCCACAGAGGGGGCACCTGGGGGGCATTGGTGTTCACAGGAATCTTGGAACTGAGTTATGGAACAGAGAAGACTATGGGGACGAGCCAGGGCTATGGGCCAGTGTGAGGAAGGGACACAGAATTCCCAGATGTCCCTCAGCTCTGAGAAGAGGCACCAGATTGAATGACTAGGGGATGGAGTTCAAACACGGTCATGGGGGAGAGCAAATTATTCAGTTTTGAGGTTCCCCAATTAACAATGTCTCACAGCCTGCCACTAGCGCGCGCTCTCTCTCTCTCTTTCTCTCTCTGGGCCTCAGTTTCCTCCTCTGTAAAAACAGAGCTTCTCCCACCTGGGTGGGCACCAGAACCACCGAGGGAGCTAACAAGGAACGCACAGTCTCAGGCTCATTGGAGAAGGACAGGCTCAGGGCCTTTGCATCTTTACCAAGTCCCCCAGGCAAGAAGAACAGGAAAACTATTAAAACCAGTGCTGCTTTAATGTGCATAGGACTCCCCAGCAGATCTTATTAAATAAAATGCAGATTCTGCTTGGTGGAACTTAAGAGTCTGCAATTCCAGCAAGCTCCTAGGTCATGCCAAAGCTGCTGGTCTGAGGACCACCCCTGAGCAGAGAGCCTCCAAAGTGCCTTCTTGTTCCCATAGTCTATTCTTTCACCTCCCTTCCCTCCCATCTTTGCTTCCTTTGCTGCATTCAGTAAACAGGAGCCCTGATACGTGCAGGCACAGCAGACAGTGGAGCCATGAGGCAGGCATTTGTTAGGGTTTCTAGCTGGTATGGCTTCGCGCCGGCCTTGGGGTAAAGCAAGCTGGCAATACCTCTAGAACTGTGTCCTTTTAATTAAGTTGCTACTCCTTGAAGGGTCTTGCCCTGCATGACCAAGAGTCAGGTGTCTTCAAGGGTCAGAAGCAGGGCAGCGGCATCACTGGTCTACAGCTTACAAAGTTCCCGTGAGGCTCAAGGAGAGAGTCTGAGTGGAGCAGGGAGGACCCAGCCCCACGGTTTTTCTACCATTACCAGCTCTGTCGCAAGACAGTTTCCTAGGCGTGGCCGAGGGAAGCCTGGGGTCCATTCCCAAGGACCCTCTCCAACCTCACTTGCCTCCTCCTGGCCGCTAGCCACTTCCTTCCTCTTCTCCTTTGCACCCCTGAGAGCAGCCAAGTTCATTCCCTTTTACTGGCTCTAGCAAAGGACATTTCGAGAAAGACCAACTTTGAATTAAAGACAGAAAGGAGGTCTAGATGGGTTTTTATAGATTTTGATGCAATTTTTTTTCTTAATACAACATGATACAGTGAAAAGGGCCTAGGGTGATGGTTCCCAAATTTTGCTAAACATTACAATCACCTGGGCAGCTTTTGAAAACCAGCATTCTGGGGCTGGCCCTGTGGCATAGTGGCTGAGTTCACGTGTTCCACTTCAGCTGCCTGGGTTTGGATCCCTGGCGCAGACCTCCACCACTTGTTGGCCATGCTGTGGTGGCGTCCCACATACAAAATAGAGGAAGATTGGCATAGATGTTAACTCAGGGCCAATCTTCCTCACTAACCACAAAAACAGAATTCTCAGCCCTCACTACAGACCAGCTAGATCAGAGTGTCTGAGGTGGGAGTCAGGTATCAGCATTTTTCCAAGATCTCCAGGTGATTCCACTATAAAGCCAAATTTGGCAGCCACTGGCCTGGGGAGAGAGACACCTGGGTTCATGTCTCAGCTTCCCCACAGGCCTGTGGTGAGACCCCCATGGCAGTGTCTTTTCTTCCCCAGGCTCGGTTTCTTCCTCTGTAAAGTGATGCAGTGCTGTAGCTCTGAAATTATATTTAATTTCACAAATCACTCACTCAGGGCCCGAGAATTAGAGACACATATGGAACGTAACTGAATCCCAAAGTTATTGAAAGAAATAACAGCTTTGATCTTAGAGAACAGAAGTAGTGCTACATTCATTATGATTTCCCACACTCCCAGATGCTCATTACACTCTACACATTGAATTGCAAGTAATTTACAGAAGATTCATAACCAGGTCACATTTACTGTTAAATAGAATCCAGTACACAGCATACATCATGCAGGTAATACATACATTTAATACAGCATATTAAAATAAGGAATATGTATCTTTTTTTTCTTTTCTGGTCTTTATGTATGAAGCCAGTTACCTACCATTGTGAGGAGCAGGTGTCCTTCCAGGCATATGCATCCGGGGAAGGGCACACCAAACTTATATAGGAGACGGCAACCACACTTCTGGCATCATTAGGAAAGTGTTTACATAGTTAGCTATCAACATGAAATTCTGGTTTCAGATGATGGATGATGTATGAGTTGTTCATAAATCAGGTCTCCACCTCAATTCTATGTTTAAACTTGTCATCCACACCCCTTATATCCATTCCTCCTTGACAGCAAAGAGTGAAACCAGCAAACAGCCATTGATGATTAAGTATCTAGGTACTAAAGTTTTTTCCTTTTTGCAATTACTGATTATAGCTTTTCTCTGTTTAACCCACCCATTGTTAACTGGCTGCTTAGGCAATATGCTGTCTGACTCCCACTAGGCTCCTACAGATAGCATCTCCCTGGAGCCTGGGTCACCATGGTAATGGGTGTGTGAGCTGTTTTCCAGGAATTAGAACTCCTTGTCCACTTCAGGCCGGTTGAGACCACCAGCTTATCAACTGGGCCTGTGCAGATGTCTGATAGATGACCTTTTGATGTCAAGAGGCTAAAAACTCCACCCTCAGATCATGCTAACACCGCCATTTTGTGAGCATGGGTCCTATGAAGAGGCATGGACTCTGACTACGCTTGCATAGATCATCAATGATCTCACCTCCAATCACCTACCTCTACATTTCAGATTACCTTGTCCCCATGCCATAAATATCCAAGTCCTTATTTTCTGGGAAGCGAATTTGAGGCTCCTGCTCTCGCTTCCTCACGTAGCTGCGTTGTGAGTAAACCCTCTTTCTGCTGCAATCTCGTCGTCTCGGTGTTTGGCTTTCTGGGGGGGCGGGCAAAAATGAACTGGTTTGGTAACAAGAACAGAGAAGAGAACTCCCCTTTCCTGAGCCTTCACCTTATTCTGGGTGGATGGTTGGGCACATGACATGTTATCTTATTTGATTTCACACACAAAGAAGCAGAGGCTGAGGGATGCCAATCACACAGCCAGGTAGTGAAGCTGACCTTTAAAAAGGCATAAGAATAGCTTACTGGGTCAGCCCAGCAGGCTCACCAGGGCACCACCTGTAAAGTTATTCTGAGAGAACAGAAATGCCCCAGGCCACCTTCCATGCAGGAGAGAGCAGCTCTGGGCAGCCTGGGTTTCCGTTGACAAGCCCATGGGCTCAAACAGCTTGAACTTTCTAAAACTCTTCTTGAATCTTGAGTCTTTACTCCTTGCTTCATCAAACAAGCCTTCCTTCTCTTTGTTCAACAGTGATCTTCCCAAAAACCCTGCTTGCCCTCCTCATGCCCGGGATGGCCTTTGGGAAACAGCAACAGGCAGAATCTCCTAGGATGTTTGAGAGAATTTGGATCAGTCAACATACTTGGGCCGCCTCAGACTGGGGGGGCTTAAACAACAGGAATGGATTGTTCTGGAAGCTAGAAGTCTGAGATCAGGGTGTCCTCAGGGTTGGTTTTTCCTCAGGCCTCTCTCCTTGGCTTGCCGACGGCTGCCTTCTCCCGCTGTTTTCACCTGGTCTTCCCTCCGTGTGCACAGATGTCTGTGTCCTAATTTCCTCTTCCCATATAGACACTAGTTGCAATGCCATACATAGGTTACAGCACCTTGTTATACAGGCTGCTTTTCTCATCTAGCAATGCCAGGGCCATCCTTGCATATCAATAAATACAGGTCTGATCACTATTTTAATGGCAACATTTTATTCCACGGGATGGCTGAGCCCTCATTTACTTGATCAATCTCCTCTTGTGGAACACTCACGTTGGTTCTGACTTTTTTTTTTAACTACGAAAACTAGGTTAGGAATTTTATCCTTTAGAGAAAAACTTCCCCACACTTATGCTAATTTCCTTAGGATAATCATAGAGGTAGAATTTCTGTGTTAAATGTATTATTATTTCATTATTTGCTCATCTGATAGGTGGAAAATGTTATTTTGTTTTAATTTACTTTTCTTTGATGATTAGCAAGGCTGGTTATTTTTTGATGTATTTATCGGCCAACTGTATTTCTTCTGTGAGTAGCCCATTCACTCATGCCCTTTACTTATTTTTCTGTTTTAGGGTGTTTATATTTTTCTTCTGGATTAGTAAATACACTCTTAATATATCTAAGAGATATTAATCTTCAGCTGTCACATATGTAACAAATATTTTCCTTCCTTTTTTTTTTTCTCCCCAAAGCCCCAGTGTATAGTTGTACATCCTAGTTGTAAGTCATTCTAGTTCTTCTCTGTGAGCCACCACACAGCATGGCTACTGACAGACGGGTGGTGTGGTTCCACGACTGGGAATGAACCTGGGCTGCTAACGCAGTGACAGCATGGAACTTTAAGCACTAGGCCATCAGGGCCGGCTCTTTTCTTCCTTTTCCATAGTCAGAACATTGACTCTGGAGTTAGATCTAAGTAATAAGAAATTTTCCTCATTTCTATTTTTATCTTTAAAGTAATATGCTTTAAAATATAGAGATCTTAAACTTTTACTTAGATCTATCAAGTAATTATTATACCGTTCCTGCATTTATTTATGTATAGTTAATAGCTAGAAAGGTCTTGAGGGCTCTTTCTGGGGTTCATCACATTCAAAACATTTTAATTCTAAATATGTAATACATGCGCACGATGAAAACATTTTTAAAAAGCGCCTGTCTTCCACCTGTCTCCCAGTCTCTCAGTTCCTCTCATAGAGCTCACGACTGCTACTCTTTGAATATCTACCTTTCCAGAGATAGTCTACAGATACACGTGTGTGTGCACCTGCTTTTTAGAACACAATTCTGAAATCTTGCTTTCTTCTCTCAGTGCTCCATTCTTTCTGTGTTCACTTGCCTTTGAGCTCCATCCTCATTTTTTTAAAAGCTTTTTATCTTAAAATAATTGAAGATTCACAACAAGTTGCAAAAATAGTACAGAGCATTCTGTGTACCTTCACTCAGCTTCCACAATGATAACATCTTAAATAATCATCGCACATTTTCAAAACCAGGAAATTGATGTTGGTCCCATAGCGCAATAGTGTTACTAAGCTACAGATCTCACTCTGATTTCATCAGCTTTTAAATGTGCCTTTGGTGTGTGCAGTTCCCATTTAACACCATTCCACTGGGCTTTCTGGGTCTTTCCACCCATTTTACTTTTGAAGCAGGGTGAGGTAAGTGGAGGCACACTGATACATGTGACATCTCACACTGGTTCTGTCACTTGCCCAAATTAACACCAGACATTGCCCAATCTCTTCATAATTGACAACCTTTTGGTGGTTTTTATAAAGGTCCTTGATACATTTTCTATTTATATCTGTGTGTGTGTGTGTGTGTGTGTGTGTGTATGTGTTTGTGTAGTAAATCTGGTGTAGTAGGAAAAGTCTAGGATTCACACTACTTTTTAAATATTTTACATAATTGTCCCATACCTTTTCCCATAAAGATGGAAATAATAAAATATAAGCAAATATCAGAGATCAGTCCAAGAAAAAAAGACTTCAAATACTTACTTTGTGGAGCTTTTCTGAAAATTAAATAAGATAAAACATCCTAAAAGTAAGTTCAGATCCGGTCTCTCCTAAACCAGCTTCTCGTCTTGCTCAGTGTCCCAGGGCCCATCAGCTCCTCCGTGACCTGTGTCCCCCTCACCCCTCTGGCCTCATCTCCCTTATGGGCCCCTCGTGCACTTCATCCCAGCTGTCCTCGCCCCCCTTGCTGGCCCTCGGACACCTCTAGATCATTACTCAAATGTCACCCTCTCGGTGGGTCCTTCCCCGAGCGACTCTACAACCTTGCACCCACACGCCAGCCCTCACACTCCTCTCCTCCCCACCTTCTCTGCCTTCTTTTTCTACAAAGCACAGACCAGCATGCACCTAAGACACAGTGACCTGTTTGTCATTGTCTGCCTCCCCCACCTGGACCATCAGCTCCTTCAGAACAGGCACTTTGACTCTTCTGCTCATGGATTTATTCCCAACACTCACAAAAGTGCCTGGTATGTATTCGGGGCTCAACAAATACTTATAGAACGAATGACTGATCAAAAAGTGCTTTGCACAGTTCCTGACGCCCAACACGGGCACTCTAGACGGGAGCCATGGCTGCGCAGCTGCTGTTGCATGAGCTGAGAACAACAACAACAGCCAGCAGGCCTGCAGTGACATTTAAATTAGAGCATGTGGAAGGGGTGTAGAAACTGTAAAGTCTGTGTAAACAGAGAGTGAGAGTTATTATTGTACGGCTGTTTGTTGATAACCTTTGTGTTCACTAGAGACGTTCTTCCTTGTTTGGACAAGTCCCGGGGTCTCCGCAGAGCTCCCAGCCTGTCACAGAATAACCACGCACAGATTAGCTTGTCCCCGACAGGATGCAAAGCTTCTGTTCCGTGGTCTGCCTGACCAGCTGACCATTATACACGCTTGTCGAGGCGCATGTGTGCTCCCCTCCTTGTTCCAGGTGTCTGTGCGCTCTATGCCAGCCTCTTCCTCCACTCAAGTCACCGCTGGCCTCTGGGGGCATTTGCCACACCATCCCAGGCTCCAACCATCAAGAGAGAAAAGAGTCCATTACCCTCCTTTGAAATGGACTTTCAAGGCAATGAGTGCTGTGCCAGTGGATAACATTGCTGTAGTTTAAAAGGACACAGTGAAGGAGCTCTCCTGTGAAGCTGGCTTTCTCGACAGCCAGGTGTTTACAGGGATGGGTAATGTCCTGGTGGGGTTAGTGTTCTAGACCATGATCTCGGCGTGAGAAATCTGGGTATGTGGACAAAATCACCGCTGATCTGTGAACCCACAGCGTTGTACCAAACTCCCAAGAAGCCCATAGATGACTGTCGACCTAACAAGGTCCCTTCATCACCCGGGGGAGGAGAAGGGAACGTATGGAGAGGCCGCCCTGCAGCAGCACTGTAGGAAGGATTTTCCCTGCGATGTCTCTGAGTATTTCCACTCTACAGATGAGGAAGTGGAAGGCCTTCTCACTATCCCACAGTTCATAAATGAGGCCACCTGCTTTGGAGCTAAGATCTGCTGGCTCCATCCTTCACTCTCTCCTGTATCTCACTGTATCTGTCGACGACAGTC